AAGTCTTCTTCACATTCAGCAAGCAAGGTTGTGTTACAGACTGTTAATGAGTCTTCCTCCGATCCAGTTTCTTGGATTATTTGCTCAGATTGAATTAAGATGAAAGGATACATCCCTGATGCCCACCTTTCCTGGTTTTTAACCATTCAGTATCCTCTTGTTCTCTTCAAATGACTTTCTCTTCGTCTATGTACAGGTCCCTCATGAGCACAATTAAGTGTTCTGGAATACTCATTCTTGAAATGTTCATAGCTTGTCATGATCCAGAGTCAAATGTTTTTGCATAGTCATTAAAACATAAGTAAGCATCTTTATGTTATTCTTTGCTTTCAACCAAGATCCATCTGATAATAGCAAAGATAGCCCTTGTTCCATGTCCTCGTCTGAATCTGGCTTGAATTTCTGGTATTTCTCTGTCGATGGACTGCTGCAATTATTTTTGAATTGTCTTTAGCAAAACTTCACTTGCTTGTGATATTAATAATATTGTTTGATGACTTCCACATTCCGTTGGGTCACTTTTTTTTTAAATGAGCACAAATATATATCTTTTTTTAGTCGGTTGACGAGGTGGCTGTTTTACAAATACCTTGACATAGATGGATGAATGCATCTAGTGCTGCATTAATTTGCTGAAACATTTCAATTTGTACTCCTAAAGTCTTGTTCTTTGCCAATGCCTTCAGTGCTGCTTGGACTTCTTCCTTCAATACCATTGGCACCTGACCCGATGGTACCTCTTGAAATGATTAAACATCCATCAATTATTTTTGATATTGACTGGGTATTACTTCCATCTTTTGATGTTTTCATGTCATTCAATCTTTTTCCCATGAAATCCTTCAATATTTCACATCGAGACTTGAATATTTTCTTCAGTTCTTTTAGCTTGAGAAATGCTGAATGAGCTCTTCCCTTCTAGTGTTCTAACTGCAGGTCTTTGCACATTTCTTTATAAGTTTCTGCTAACAGTTTAGAATATATTAAAGGATGCTGTTGCTATGGGCTGTGCAAAATGAGTTTCCCATTTTAATTCTTGGAATGAGTTTTTCTGTGAATGTTTACGTTGAGTGTAAACAATCATTTATAGGAAGAACAGGGGAGGCTCTCTCATTCATCCTTATTTAATACACTCTGCTAATTTGTGGGGAGTTCTATTAGCAGTAGCTATTGGGATTGGCACTGTAGGATAAGCACTAGACATAACCATAAGGTCAACAGTTCAAATACCAGTCACTCTTGGAAACCCTATACAGGGTCACTAGGAGTCAGAAGCGACTCGACAGCAGACAACAACAGCAACTGGGATTAAATACTTAATCCCTTAATTTGGCATTAAGGAGTCCCTGGATGGTGCAAACAGTTCATGTGCTTGGCTTGGCTGCTAACCGAAAGGCTGGAAGTCAAGTGTACCCAGAAAGACCTCAGGAAAACGTTCTGATGATTTCTTTCTGAAAAATTAGCCACTGAAAACTCAATGGAGAATATTTTTAAAAAATGATACTAAAGGATATTCAGATTACCAATGCATTTACTTTTCATTTATAAAAGACCTGAAAACAACTACTATTTTCCGGATTTGCATCATATGAAGTATGAGATAGAAGATGAAACTACACCTATTGGAAGACACGTTCGCTTTGGCTTTGATCCCCTGGAGTTTCCTGATTTTAGCTGGAGAGGGTATGCCCAGATGACCTCAGCACAGGTATGTGGCCATAGGAAACAGCCCATAGCCTCTCACAGCACTCACCGTGAGCTCAGAGAAACGAACCGTCACCGAACAGATTCCAGAAGTCTTTCTCTTCTGGGGTTGGGGTTGGGGTTGGGGTTAGGGTTCAGGGTAGGGTTGGATTTTCACTGAAAAATATAGATGTGGATTTCACAGTTCATTGTTACTTTCATTTGGCCACCAATCAACTCATAAAATGAATGAAGTAAAGAAAAATGGTGTTTTTCTTTGGGAAACACCCTTCTTAAAAGATGAAGGGTGTTTCCTGAATGAGGTTGTTGTTATTGCTTTAAGTGCTGAGTCAATTCCAACTCATAGTGACCCTTTATAGGGTCCTGGTGTGATGCTATAG